GGACCGAGAATTCAAAGAAATGAAAAATATATTCAACTGAATACCAAAATAAAACTGCATTGTGGTCTGAAAGGATTGAAAAAATAGAATCCACAATTTTGTTGTTATTACCTAATATAAATTGTGAATGCAATATAATATATAATAACATTGATGTTAATTGTTGTTGAAAAACAGGTACCACTCGCCATCCTTGAAGATTTTTATATGTTTTGTAATCGAATACGATCAATATTGATAGTGTCATTATTAACAGAGATAGTAGATTGCACATGTTGAATAATATAAATGTGACCAGGACGGAATATGTACATGTCGTTTGATTTTGTTTGTTCATGGTAATATATTATGATATATATTCTTTATTCGATAATAGAGATGAACTTTATATGCTTATGTTCTAAAGTCTGTACGCTAAAACTACTAGAAATGGCAAGCAAAGTATGAACATTTTTCTCTTTTCATGAGTTATTTACCTGCTAACACATACATCTAAGCGCTAGAATTCACGCAGAAGAAGATACTTTTGCAACAAGCAGGAATTTCTTCGTCTTAACAATATGCAACTCAAGGAGTTTCTTCTTGCTTTCTTAAAACTAACTTCAAGTAAGTCTTTTAAAACAGAATTCAGAGTGAATACAGGAGAGAAGATAGAAACAGGACAGTTCATTAAACAGGAAAGGGGTGAATTCGTATACGAAAAACAATAAATAAGCAAATCATGAATTCCACAAAAAAAATCATCCACTCGGTTTAAGCTTATCTCCTGTTGCGCGAATACAGACTTAGATATGAAGTGTTATCAAAAACTAGACAAACATCTTATTGAATCAAAAAGAATCGAATATATGAAAAGGATTATAATATGAGTGCACAAAATACAATCATTAAACACTATCAATAGTGATATAGGGCTATCTTTAGGATTGTATCAAAAGAAAATTTGTTACTCTAGAAAACTAACACGAGATGAACATGGTCTACGTAAAACAATGGAATTATTTATTCAAATTTATACGGCGAAACAATACGAAAGTGTGTTGGTCTTCAAAGATGATCCAATACCACATAAATAATTTTTATAGATTTGTTAAATTCTAATGATCGTTGTGGCAGTTATATGATGACAAAAGAAAAAGGCGGTATCCTATTTTTCGGTTTTTCTGGATGTGAAAAAACCATTTTATCTATAAAATTGGTCAATTATTGACGAAGAATTAAAATATTATAGTCATAACACACAATATATTAACGTTGATCAAGTTGTGTATGGTGCATTTGGTGTCCTCTTACATAAATCTGTATCTAAACCAATTTTAGAGCGGTTATCATTTTTAAACAAATTTTATGCTTATGTTTTTAAATTTCAATCCGAACTGAGGTTTATTGTACGTGCAATATATCTCCATCTTATTGTTGAAGATTGTGGACAGAAATCATTGGTTGATAATGACAGAAGTCGTTTTCAACAAAATCTAACAATAAAAACAAAACGATACCGATGAATACATATTATCTTTTAATTCTCTCTTTTTCTCACTTACTTCTATGGAACGAAAATTTGAGATAGTAATTCGACTTAAATCGATTTTTCTCAATGTGTTAAGGGTACCCCTCCCCCTTTTTTATTATCCTCTTCAAAAACGGATAAGCCGATGTTAGATCGGGTTCGGATTTATACCAGAGATAGAACATCGAAAAAGAAATTGATGTATTTTTGTCCAGAATGATCTGACGTGCTCTTCTATGGGTTTTCGGAAAACTCCAGTTCTTACTGGCATACATTACGACTCCTCGAAAAAATGGTCCAGTAGAGCTCAAAATTTTACCTGGTCTGAAGTATCAATGGTAAAATCTTGAGGTCAATCGGACCATTTTTTCAAGAGGTCGTACCCTTAAGTACTAATAAAATTTTTAGAACAGCTAACTACTCTTCGGGCTCTTGTTTATTCCAGACTGAAATGAGACATACTTTTGTTACCTTTGTTAGTTGGTATACAGATATTCAGAGATGTCCTTTGCCGTCTAATATTCGAGCATTTCAGTTTTTTGAAATTGTTACTAATTTGTTCACTTTACGCCGTTATCTCTTTCGATAGATTGTACATGTCTGAAAAACGTACATGTTAATAAATATCAAAATATATTCACCTGTTTTCCTTATTCTCTTTTTCTGAAAAATTGAATTCTTTTTGTACAATCGAGTAAAGAAAAGAAAATACCTTGGTTTATCATATTTTTTTTTCTAAGCGTGGCATTAATAGATAGCATACATTTTAACATTAAAATGGGGATAATGGACATAATTTAATGCTATTTTGTATAATAAAATTTTTTCTTTTCCCAAACAAAACATTTTTAAGCTATCTCTCGTCGAATAAACATAAAACAGATTGTTTTCTTCCCTGTATCTGTTTCTTCCTTCTGTTCCACACTATATTTACTTGCAAAAGTCTACCACCCTTTTACTAGTGTACTATGTTAATATTCACATTTAGTAGTAGACGTTTATATTTCTACAAATAACATTGAACATCACATATTTAATTATTGGAGCAATATTATTTGTACTCCTACCATTTTACATTAATCAAAAGTGACATTATGTAAGTGTGAATACAATGATACTCAAAGTTTCTTCATCTTTCATTTTGGTCCATTTTTTCTTTACTGTATTGTTTTCCATTTAGAACAACATTTTGTCAAGAAAATGTTTAAAAAACCAACTAAAAGTAAACTTATATATCGCATGTATTAAAAATAATTCATTACATGATCCCAATTATTTTGATAAATATATTGGACAAAACGTCAGTGAATTTTCTATGCGTACTTGATTGCATTGCAACCTTTTCTTCTATGATAGGTTAACTCATTATCAAACGATAAGATGTGTTTTGTACACTGACCTGCACAATCAACAAGAGAAAGACAGCCGGACGTGCGATGTTCAAAATGTAATACAGCACATAAACGGTTTCAAAACAAGTTTCGTATTAATATTTGTACCCGATTCTTTTCGCCAAATTGTATTACAAGACGTCATTTCACATATTTATTTCAACAAAAAAAATGTTTCGTATGTAAGATGCACGTAAGGCAAAGATCGAGCAGAATTTAGTTTTCTATATTTTACACACCATTCGATAGAGAATCGCACACTGATCATGAATATGTGTTCCCGACCTCTCAAAACCGTTTCCTCGCTGAGAAAATCGTAAAATACTATGAAGAGGTCAAAAACCCGGTTTTTCAGGCCTCTTTTTAAATTTGAGTTTTCTAAGTTTGGTTACAATTTGGAACGTTCCAACTCAGATATTCTTGTTCAGCGTTGAAAAGTGCGATTTTCTCAATTAGAACTCAACTTTCAACTTTCACGCAATGAAAATATCATATTCGGAACCAGCGCCGAAAATCGAGTCGAATGATATACTTTTTTTATCTTATTCGATCACTTTAATTTTTGGATGAAAATCTCAGTTCTTCCTTCGACGTGAAAATTCAAAAAACATTAAAGTGATCGAATAAGATAAAAAAAGTATATCATTCGACTCGATTTTCGACGCTGATTCCGAATATCATATTTTCATTGCGTGAAAGTTGAGTTCTAATTGAGAAAATCGCCAATTAGGGTCAGAATTTCGATGTCTCCCAGTAAAGTCGACTTTTCTCGACGAGGGAATGGAATTTTGAAAAAAGCGAGCCGTTGTTTTGACGAGGAGCATCCGGCAAATCTAATTATGTAAAAATATTGACTCCGGGACTCTCCGGAAAGCACCTGCCGTTTTTGCTAAAATGAGACCTGTTTTTTAGTCGCTTCGCTTTTAACGTCTTTGGCAAATAGGTGTTTAGGTATATAAAGGCTTTTATTTTTCCGGTGGTTCATTTCTATAAAAAAAGTACAAAGTATTTAAGAATATATTTTTAAATAAAGTAGTATAAGAAGAAATTACTAAACAGGCAACTTGCCCGTTCGGGCAAGGTCTGACCTCAAGAATCATCAGTCCTCTAATGGGTGGGAGTATTCATTCTACTTCTCATGCACTGATTATTCACTATATGTTAAAGTTATGTGTTCAATTTATGTTTGCGCAATTTGTCTGGCCTGATTCAGCAATATTGCTCGTTCAGGCCAGATGATATTGCCCATTAAGGTAAGGTATCTCGCCCGATCAGGCAGCTTTTTGTCCTTGCCTGATCGCAAAATATTGCTCGAACGGGCAGGTTTGCCTGACCAGGCAAGATAATCATGAGGCAGATCTAGTTGGTCAGTTTTTTGATCGTACAAGAAAGTATCTTATCACAAAGGAAAACTCTATTTGATACAGTTTTTGCCGTTCTGTCACGTCGAATAAGTGTCTACATGTGCTATAGCTTTGATTTATGCGTTAATCCGTTGAAAGAAAAGTGAGGAAATCTTGCCAGAACGGGTGACATCTACTTGCCCGATCGGATCAGAAAGCATGACAACGGACTGCCAGTAACCTATGTTTTCATGTGTTATTGACAGTCATGAACTTAACAATAGACTAGTCCTTGGCCTTCAGAGTGTCTGCTAAACCGGTTCAGTCTACCTTTCGGTGTACTACGATGAAAACTCGAACAAACATGTTTTTCTTCGCTTTCTAGACATCAAATATTGTACCGTACGACTACTATCATTCTGTATTAAACAGGGCTTTTCTTTATCTTGAAGCGTGGTTTTGAAACAATAATCTCAACATTATTTTGAATTAAAATGAGAAACAAAAACCGAGCCACAATTCAAGTTATACAGAATCGGTTAAGGTTAGAAAAAAAGAACAAACTATATGGATATATGTAATAGAAACTCGTCGACGTGGAACAAAACGATGAAAAAAATCTGTTACTTCTTAAAAGGCAAAAGATTGTTTGTTGAGTTTGTCCATGAGAAACAGAAACAAAAAAGTTTATTTATACCTTGATCAAGTACTATTCTAGAGAGGTTAATATAATTCAATTCATTTATATCCTTAACAATGATTCAAATAAATTGCATATTATTAGGCAAAACGGATGCTGGTAAAACTACTCTTATTGAAACGTTGAAAAATCCAGAATATGTGAATACTCAGTCAACGTTATATACTGCAACAAATAATGTTGCATCACAGACAATTACAGTGGCATCTGATAACAATAAATTGTACGAAGTAAAGATTGTCGATACTCCAGGATTGAACGACGTTAGAAACGATATTTATAATCAGTATAGCAACGAGGAAAAACTTAAATTAATTCGAAATCATCTATTTCAAACGGACTACACTTTTATTGGCTTGGTGTTCGATATGAAAAGTATTATTCAGGAAGATTTAGCGTCGTTTCGGATATTACGAGAATATTTAGGTGAAACATTAACATGGAAAACATTGCTTATTATAACACATTGTGAGAACAAACGTGCAGAAGATTTGAGACAATTCGATTTACAATTACAAGGGGAAAATCTTGGTGAATTGGTTTCCTTTTGTAAACTTGGTCATGTATATACAGGTGCATTAAACTCGGAAGTTTTACGATATTCGGGTGTTCGAGAGCCGATGCTTGAAAACGTTATGAAACTACGCAAAGATCTTTTGGCAAAAGTTATTAGTTTTGATAAATCGCCGCCGATGATGAGCAACCGAAATCGTTCTGATGAGAGAGAGCCGCTGATACTACAGAGAAGAAGGGCGAAAAGTCATTATTGTGATTGTTGCTGCGAATGCTGTCGGGATTGTTGTAATTACATTTGTGATTATTGCACGATTCTTTAACTCTATGAACGTCTTGAAGAGAACAGCTCTACTTTTTTGTTCTGCACTAGTGATACTGTTTATCGAAAATAACTCACATAAAAATTTTGGGATGGACCTCTATTGAGTATTTATTTATTCTGAACAAAATTCTTTTATTGTTTAAAATATTGAGAGGGTTTACATCGACTTTTCTATGTCGAAGAATACTGAATTATCCGAATTATCAAATTGATATTCTCAATTTGGTCTTCTATATTGATCTTTTACCTCCTACAGCTGATTATGAAAACCCAACTTGAAACTCATATACTTTTTGTTTAGGCTATTAGAACCTCTTTTCTTTTGGAAAATCCTTAGTTTATAGTGTAACCTTAGATTAGAAAAAAAATCCGTGTGTTGATCGAGCGTATTGCCACCGTTCGATTCTCTGATGTTCACTACTATTCAACTATCCCAGTGCTCTTCATAAAAACTGAAAATAGGCGTATTACATGAGAAAGTAGGGTCAGGTCATTTTCAACACACGGCATCCTCTCGAAATAAAACTCAGGCTTTTGACTTATGTTCTTTGATTTGGCTCGCTTAGGTTTTTTTCCAAAACGCATGGAAGTGAGCTTTCTAGAACGCCATGGTAGCTGGTTTACATTGGTTTATCTGGATACAGAAAGACTTTTTTCTAAGATATTGCTGTTGCTTTAAGAACCTTTTTGAGATGATCATCGTATTCAGAACAGAATTGGTGGCCCATATTCATAGGAAAGAACTTTTCTTTTTAATCGTCTATAATCCTGTTTATTAAGAAAAGATCCAACAAACTTGACTAAGCGAGCAGACCAAGGTCTATGGTGCAGAGTCAACTAAACAATCTAACGAAGAACTGAGACAAATACATATGTAGATTCTACTTGTGAATATAACAATAAAAAAGAAAGTGCAATAATAGACGAATCTCTTTAAGTCTGTGATCATATTATGGAAGCTGGTATTAATGAGAAGTAAAGCAGGGAGAATATATTATGCTCTGAACTGCAACAGTGATAATAAAAAGGAAGAAATGTTTTATCAGTCCTTCACATCAAAAACGATCTGACTGAATGATAAAGTCCGTAACAGCTTTGACAATAATCTTGATTTCTTGAGATGTTAGAGAAATTTCTAGAAATAAAGTTTTTAAATCAAAAGAAAGATGAGGTAAATCCGATTGAAATATAGAACGTAGAGCTAATCTCACAGTATCAAACAAGGGAAACTACAAGAAATAGTGAGAAAGGCTCTCGTCCGTCACGTTGTCACACGAGCAGGAAAGAACTTTGCTAAAAATAATAAATCTATCGCTCTAATTAGGGGACAATATTACATGCGTTTCCGAGATCGATGATGGTGAGCGATCTTCAACAGAAACGTACATGAATAATGCTGAAAAAAATTATGCCAAAAAAATAAAAAGATTCGAGCGGAAATCAAATCAGAAAAAAAACATTCAAAACTTAATTTAAAATAATTTGAGAGGTCAATAAAATACATCAGTTTACATTGAACCAAAAATCTAAATTAATTTAAATGTATTTCAGTTGTTAAGTTGTTTCCAATTAGTTTGAAAAAAATTAATTGTAACTAGTTTAAAATGACATTCGTTTAAATGAATACATTCCGAATGACTTTAAACTAATTTCGAACCTGATTTCACTTTAGCTTAATTTCTTCTACTAAATGACTTCAAACTAGTTGATTTAAACTATTGGAAATTAATTCAATCATTCAAACTGATGTGAAACAGTTTTGATTTATTAACTTCATTTGAAGAACTTTTTCTGTATAAATTTGAATTTCGACAGTCGAAATTAGTTGAACTTTATTTCAAAAACCAAATTAGTTTACCTTATTCGAAATAAATTAGTTTAAACGAATGTGCAACGTCTTAAGAGTCAGTCCGTACTACCATTGAGAAACTCGATTATCCGGTGAAAAATTACTTTTATCTCTAAGCATGCTCATTCGATTCTCCACTGAAAATGATCCAGAAATCCAAATTTTGAAGCTTTAGAAACATTTTCTTACCGATTTATGAAATTTCTGCGAAGAGCCCTACGAAAAATTCTCGAAAGTCGCTCAAAACCCACATATGTTTTTGCATTTTAATTTTTTTTCTTTCGTCCTGAGCTTTATGATTTTGAGCTATATATCAGTCGAAAGTGCTAAAAAAATTGAACAAAATAGGTTATCATCTTGCAATGATCCGAATCATCTATTTCACATGGACTACACAATAAACTTCACGTAGTGTACCGGATGGTCAAAACAAACCTATCCTTTTTTGTAATGGTCTTTCTATACCTTTAGAATTCAGTTCTTGATCCGATTCTTTTTGTGATAGACGGCTTGTCCAAACGTCATGGTGTTACGTTTTTGACGCAATAAACTTCGGTTATCTCGGAAACTAAAGTAGCTAGAAAGTTCGTTTAAACATCAATTGACGCAGTTCATCATGCTCTACTTATGCTGTGAAAACGAAGTTTCTTGGATGTTGCATCGGGCTTTGAGAAAGATTTTAGTGTTGCGTTAAGGCGTTATGCAAAAAAGGTCCTTTTTTAAGAGTGCTGCTGCGCAAATCCTGATTTGCTGCGAAAGTAGTTCCACAAACGGAACATTCCTTGATTCCGATCTGGTAGAGCAGCTCACGGGCTTTCTAATGGAAAAAAAATGTTCCGCTTAGGTTATTAGATTTGCCTGAAAAACACAAAATATAAGCGTCACAACGTTACATTTTTCGTCGCGACGTTACGCACTTTTTTGTCAAGCATATTTGAGGCACTTCACACAATGGCGAAGTTTTGATTTTCACAACTTCCTGTGTTCTTTGTATATTTGATCGATCTGCGCAAAAATCAAGTTGCTGTATCAGAATAAGAGCTGAAAAACTGGACAGTAAGTCGGAACCTGTACAACTATGTACAAAATGTACATAGCAAGTAAACTCAAAAACAAATACTCCATTTTGTGGAGAATTCAATTCTCTACAAAAGCATATTTTTAGAAAGTTGTTTTAAAAATGTTTTTGGTTATAAGATTAAAAATCCGGTTTCTGAAAAGTTCAAATCCAGGTTTTTTGGGTGAAAAATGAACATTTTTGAAAAACGAGTTTCGGACGGGTTCATAGAATAGAAATCTGAATCTAATCATGTGTTCAAAACTTTCGATATAAAAGAAAAACATGTTGGATCGTCTGCTGTTTTCTGTTCGTGAGATATATCGTCCATTCGGTTTAAAACTCTAAAAGTCTAAAACTCTAAATTAGCACACGAGCAACATATTGACACACAAGAAAAAGAAATGCTCGACAACGAAAAAAACAAACGTAAAATTCAGAACAAACAAACAGAGTGATAGTAACAAACACTTTTTCTATGCTACACGATAGATGTCGCACGAAGCCGGTCATCTGTAGTGCAGCAACTATTAAGCAACGACGTTTACGTGGAGTCAAACATTGTACCAGATAAACATAGAAACGCTATTGTAACAGCCGCTACTTTGAACTTCCTTTTACTTTCATTTATTGATTTCCTTCGACGTTTCGGACAAACACAGTGTTCATTTTCAAGAGCTGACTTATATCTTACTTATGTAAAAGTCTCGCACCGGTGCACCCCAGCGCCGAAGTATTGTTTTCAATCACCATTTTGTTTTGTCTTCAATTTAGCAAGCCTCTGGGAAGGTTTCGAGAACACTTAAGATTTATATTAGATCATATCACCGACAAAAATTGAAGTTCATTTAGAGTTAAAGAGAAGTGCTTTTTCGTATTCAGCACATTTGACAACCTGGAAAATTTTCTATTTTTAGCGACGGGTACCGACAAAAAGTTAAGAAAAATTTTCAAAATTTTATAATTTTACCATGGGGATTTCTCTGCGGCAATTTGTTTGAAAATTTTTCTTAACTTTTTGTAGGGACCCCTCGCTAAATATGGAAAATTTTTCAGGTTATCAAGTGTGCTGAATAAGAAAAAGTACTTTTCTTTAACTCTAAACAAACTTTAATTTTTTTTTATCGATGATATGTACGAAGCTTAGATATCAAATCAGAGACAGCTGCATAACATATTTTGATAGTCCCAAGCGTACACTGGCCGGAGGGAGGTGTGACCGTTGTCTTCGGTTTGAAGTCATGAAACGCTCTTCGTAGATATAAGTTCGTAAAGTCAAAGGACCGAACGCGCAGACCAGCATTACCCTGGCCCGTAGCGAGGATTTTGTTAACGGGAGGTGTTCTATAGATGTAAATTGATATACGGGTTTTCTTGCATTTTGTTTTGTGTGAACTAAGGCAAGATTGCGTAACCGTTCATCATCAATACTATTCCTTAGACTAGTTTTCATACGCTTCATCGTTGAACACGATCGCTCCGCTGTAGCCACTGTTACTGGTAATATTGCAAATATCTCAAACAAACGATTTAAATTAGGATAGAATGAATGAATAGTAGTTAAAACATTCAACGTCTCGGTAGCATTTGATGGTCTCTCTTCCGCTCGAGTTTTCCTCCATTTGTGTTGCCACAGCTCAAACTCAGCTGTGATGATATCAATACCACTCGACGGTAGATCATTTTCGTAGAAATCGAACATTTGTTTCACATCACTGAACGGTTTCTCGACAACAGTTGACGGCACCAAATGCAATTATTTTTTGAACTCCACCGAGATGGCCCGACATGACGCTGCATCCGTCATAACCTTGACCTAGAAGTGTTCAAGATGCTTTAAGTTCGAGTGCTCAGTACGAAAGGAACAAAACAATCTACCTCATAAATATGCTAAATCAAGACCAGCTGAGCGTAAATAGTCCATAATCTTTTCCGATATTCCATTTGCTGAGCTATCAAAGAGTGATGTGAAGCTGATAAACTCCTTCCTAATCTCGATTTGATTGTTGCCACAGTTTAAGTAACGAATCGCGAGAGACAACTGTTCCGTTCCGCTGATATCCGATGTTACATCGACAAAATTGAGTAGAAC